GCCGAGCCCCCCCACCCCATTTTTAAAATTTTTTTTATTTTTTTCAGACAGAGTCTCCCTATACTGCCCTCGGTAGAGTGCTGTGACCTCATAGCTCACAGCAACCTGAAACTCATGAGCTTAATTAAGCTATTCTCTTTCCTCAGCCTCCCAAGTAGCTGGGACTGCAGGGGCACAACACAACATTAGGCTATTTTTTCTTTCTTTTTTATTTATTTATTTATTTTGGCTGTAGCTGTCATTGTCATTTGGCAGGCATGGGTTGGGTTTGAACCTGCCAGCTCCAGTGTATGTGGCTGTCACCCTAGTCGTTTGAGCTACAGGCGCTGAGCCTAAAAAAAAAAATGTTTTTTTCTTCAGACAGTCTTACTTATCTGAAGTCAGTCTTTTTTTTCTTCAGACAATCTTCAGCTGTTGCCCTGAGTAGAGTGCCATGGCATCACAGCAACCTCAAACCCTTGGGCTTAAGCAATTCTCTTGCCTCAGCCTCCCAGGTAGCTGGGACTTTAGGTATCCACCACAGGACAGCTATTTTTTGGTTATAGTCGTCATCGTTGTTTGGCAGGCCCAGGCTGGATTCGAACCCTCCAGCTCCAGTGTACGTGGCTGGCACCCTACTCCCTAAAAAATGGTTTTAAGTAAAAAATTTAAAGCTTTAGGTTGGCATCAAAATTAATGATCTGGCTTCTGTATGTCTATCTGGGTGTTGCTTAGTTAACATTTTGTGAAGGGAAGTGGGAGGAGGAAACTCATACAGATTCAGTTGTCTAGATCTTTGAATTGATACTGTATTTAAGGAAGCATTGTCCAAAGTAGAGAGGAGTTAATCTTTGATTGGCACTGTGACAGTTGTGTTGGTTTTCATTTTGTTTATTTTTTTAGAAAGGGTGTCCTGATGGCATTGCCAAAGCTGACCTAAAACTTCTGGGCTCCTGTCTCAGCTTACCAAATAGTGCCCGGCAGATAAGTTGCCTTATTCCTGACTCATTTTGTCTGGTTAAAACTACCTGTTACAAAATGGACGATAGATCTTAAAAAGATATTGGAAAATTGTTTGGAATTATCAAAGGGGTTTGGTAGCAGCAGAGGAGGAGGAGAAAAGTAGAGAATATTTTCTTTAGGATAGAGCTGAGGCAGCAGAATAGTTTTGTTTTTTTAAAGATAGAGTCTCTCTTAATGCCATTTGAAAAAAAAA